CATAACCTCCAACTACTAAATTATAAAATTTAAGATATTTTATGATATCTCTCTATTTTTAATGACAAAATAAATTCACAAGTTTTTTATTTCATGAAACTTCTACTCAAGATTATTATATAACATTTTGATTATCCAAATGTCACCTTCATGTCTATAATAGAATTAGCTAGGCAATCCAACTATACTTAACAATTTAAATTAAATATAATTTACGAATGCTTATTTTTACGTTTTAGACATTACAATTTCTATATTTTATCAAATTATTTTCATACATCTTATACAATCTATTTCAATTATCATATAATTACCGGTTGATTTAGTCTTTTTTAAAATTACACAAAATGATCGGTTTTGTTTTTTATTTTATGTTCTAAACTCTACTTTTTAAATTTGTATACGTCATAATTTCCGACATATAAATACAATTATCTTCACTTTGCTATGGATGGAGTGAATGGACCATATTCTTCTTTTTTTCTCACGTACTTTTATTAATGAGCTTTGTTTATCTTGAAGTTGGTTATATGACATTAATCAATTTATGTTTAACGAAAACTTGAAAAAAGTACCTTTTCTTCCTTTATGTAATAGTATATTTTATTTGTTAGAAATTAGTTCAATGTGAATAATAAAATGAATTCAAATTTAAATTTTTATCTATTTAATTGAAATTTGAACTAAAAACTCTTTTATATTCAAATAATATGAAATGGTTAATTTATATTTTTGATATAATATTTTACGACCGCGCATAGCGTGGCTAAGTTACCTAGTTAAAGAACTAATCATGGGCTTATGATATTCATCAAACATTAATCAATAAGTTTAATTAATTTTATATCGGTTACATATGTTTTTTATTATTATTTTGCACACAAGTTCAAACCTATTTAACTCTTCTCTTTATTTAATGCATTTACATGAATTAGTTACATAAGTTGAAGGATTCCGTATCACTTACTAATGGTAGAATTTGAAAGTTTTTCTTCAATGTTATTAAATTAAATTTTGAATACCACTACTTATCTTCTGTTTTTTCCTCAGAATTTTAAACCTTTGTAAAAAATGATATTTCACTCTCTTCTGTCTATTAAAATTAATATCTCTCTCTCTCTTTTATTTTATATATTTTTTCTCTTATTTTCTAATTAAAAAAATCATATCTATATAATATAAAATGTGTGACAGTTTATTAATTGACATGTAGACTCAAGAGTCCCGCAAAATTATTTAAAAATCAATTATAAAAAAAGTAATGTTAAAAGTCTATATTATTCCTAATTAGGATGCCTAACTATAGGACAATATAAGAAAACTTAAAAGTTAAAAGTAAAATAAAATCTCCTTATTAAGGAAAAGGAAGGCATAGAACAACCGTTTTAAAAAAAAAACAAATAATGCAATTTTAAAAGGACGCTAAAATATTTATCGAACCGTATCAATATATAACCCTTTTAAATTAAACTGAGGTTTTTCGGGATGGCTCAGTTGGTTTGGAGGGTGGTTATCCACACGGATGATCCGGCATTGATCCCCTGAATGCCTTCTGAGTCGAGCCTGTCGCATGGGGCTTGCCTAGTACGGTTTACATCCCCTGTGTGGTTTACCCACTATTACACAGTAAGGATTTAGCGGCTGCGAATTATCCTAGGGTTCCAAAAAAAATAAAAATTAAACTGATCAAATACTATTTCCTCTTTAAAGTTCTATTTTCCTCTTAATTGATAGCACGAAAATAAGTTAAAATTTGCAAAAGTAAAAATTACTCATGCTTTCAAATTATACTTAAAACATTTAAAATTATATCATCTTTTTGAAAGAATGATAAAAACTTTTTAGGCCAAACACATACACAACCCCTCAAACTTGTCCTATTTTTTATTTTGGCACTTCAACTTAGCCTTTTTCCATTTTAATCCTTAAACTCCATTTTTTATGTACCATTTAAACACTTATACTATTTTTTATGATTTGTTTTTATTTATGTTCTTCAATAGCAATTTATTATTTTAAAAAAATAGACATGTGCCTGTTAATTTTCGTAAAAAAATTAAACATTCGCGAACGAACATAAAAAATTTCAAACAATAATATTATTTTTTGATATTTCTCTGTATTTTTGCATGAAAATAAATTGACGAAAGTTCTTTGATTTTCTTTCTTAAACATTCAATTAAATTAAATAACACTACTTATTTATTTTTTCTTATCATCTACGCTGTCTAAATTTAACGCAAATACTCACTTTTAATTTTTAATATAAATCAATACGAATAAAAAAAAAATCCATCTTCAAAAAGACTCGACTGACTTTGTTAATAACACTACTAAAAAAAGACTCTTGTTCATTGCTAATAACACTACTAAACAATGTTAAAACTCGACTGACTTTGTTAGGTTGTCAGTGATTTTAAAGAAAGAAAACCAACACAATTTCGTCGGTTATTTTTCACACAAAAATACAAACACTCTTAAAAAGAATTTTTTTTTTTTTTAAAAGAATTATTTTTTGTTAATTTTTAATTTTTTTAACTAAAATTAACTGACACATGTCAATTTAAAATAAGAAGTTGCTATTGAAATATATATATAAAAATAAAGAAATCATAAAAATAATATTTCGTGTTAAAATGGAACATAAAAAATGGAGTTTAAGGGTTAAAATGGAACAAGGGTAAAATAAAATGTCAAAATGAAAAATATGAACAAGTTAGAGGGGCTATATATGTGTTTGGCCAAGTTTTTATATAACATCTATTGCAATTTTAAAACGGTGCTGCTATGCTTTCTTTTTTCTTAATATGAAGATTTTTTTTTTACTTCTAAGTTTTCTTATATTGTCCTCTAATTAGGCATCCTAAACAGAAAAATATAAACATTTGATATTACCTTTTTTTATAATTTGTTTTTAAATAATCTTACGGGACTCTCCAAATGTCAATTAATATTGGTTATGCTTCGCATCCATATATTCTTCCACGGTCCACCTCACACCTTCATAATTCTTAATTAATTTTATTAGTGTGCAATGATAACGTGCTAAAAATTGAGAGATAAAAAAAAATGAAAACTAACACTACCGAACTATTCATACATGATTCAATCATTTTAGGTTCAGCTATGCATAGAAGAGTTTCATGGTACTCTATTTAAGGTTTTTTCTTTGAATAACCACAATTTATCTGGTGAAATTTATGTTTAGTAAATAAATTATTTAATTGAACTTATTTACTCAATATATTGAAATGATTTTCTTTTTACAGATAGAGATTTCTCATCTTTTTGGTTGAAAAGTTTACATTTTTGTATTTCATAATTATTTCTTGTTCATTTATAATTTTTTTCGTAAATTAAATTAATTATTGGAAAGGAAAAATTGTTACATAAATTGAAACAAAGAAAATAAAATGTTGTTGTTAAAATCGTTAAATGCTTATGAGGTAAACTATACTTCATTATCATTAGAATACTTACTTTTTGAACCCAAATATTAAATTGGGGGTTATTTTTCAACCCAATTTAGGAAAATGCTTAAAATAGACTATGGGGTTTACATCCAACAATAGTGCTAAAGTAACGCCTGCCAGAATTGAGCCAATTAGTTGAGCTATTATGTACACTGGTGCCTGCATCACATGAATGTGATGTTAATTAGTTTCTTCATTCACATTTTTGCTAATATGCTAACAATTGAGCTAGTAAAATTAAATCTAGCAATTTTACCATATGATTTTATTTTATGTCATTTGTGAAGGTAAATCGAAAAAGTTACTATGACTAGTACGTACTAATTTCCAGGGGGAGCGACGAAAGACGGTGAAAATGAGAGTTACAGCAGGATTAAAATGAGCTCCTGAAACTTGTGCCATGGAGTAAACCATGACCATAACAACAGCTCCCCATGTCATGTTTATACCGCCAAACGTTATGCTTTCATCATCCTGTAGCTTATACATTGCTACTGATCCACACCATGCAAATATTATCACGTAAGCCCCAATCGCCTCCGCAAATAACTGCATGTGTGCAATGGTTTCCGTGATAAGAATCTTAAAGGTTGAATCTAATCAAATTTAAATTTTGGATTCGTCTTAAAGAACCATACCTTTTGTGCAAGTCCAGCATTTGAACGAAGTCCTATGTTTGTATGAGATTGGGAACCAAATATATTGGCTGCTTCCATATTATGGTGATTTCTTCTTCTCAATTACCATCAATTTTCTCCACCATTGTGGGTATCATAAAAACAGGACATGAAAGTATAAAGGGAATTTGAAATTTTCTAAAGTTTTTTCTTATTTTTCCCAAGGTGAGGATATTAATTATAATTAAAGATATGATGAATAGTTGGAGAATTTGTTCCATCTGCTGTATATTAGGATCTCTAGGGTCCACAGTGTTTCAAACTTTGATTCAGCCCTCTGATTTACTTTGAAATATATATTTATACTCATCTTTTTTTCTTATTTTTTATAAATACAGTATGGTCCTTTTAAAAACTCCATCCGTTCCTTTTAAACATTCTCTGTATGTCACTAACAAACTATGAGAATGGAGAATTGGAACTTTTAACAGTTGTATAACCTTCAATACACAATCTATGTTAACAGAAATTAAACTCGAAAAGAGTATCTCTAAGATCTTAATAAGTTTTCCAAAATTATTAAACAATATAACCAGTCACCTGGCGCCTATTCAGAAGGACCCGGACTGGCATTCTTTCATATCATCTGATATTTCCAAGTATCAAGAGGACACCAGCACATAGTTGCAGGGAAGGAAGAAAGGATGATATCGGAAAAGAGAAACAAAATGATCGATGCTGAGACCAACATATCATGAATATATTTGAAGACGCTGATTTGCAACTCCCTGAAGCAGTTTGTGATTATTATGCCTTCCTCCTCTTGGTTGCCCAGGTATCCACCTTAAGTCTTTTCTCCTTTGAACCTCACCATTTCATCACATTTTCTGACAACCCACTTTCTATCCCTGAGCACTGAGTGGATGAGAACGAATCGAGTCATGAGACTCAGGCATTATTCAATATAGGTGCAAGGCGGACAAAAGTAAAGACAACCACAATATGCACCTTGGCTAACTGGAAAAACAAATTCTAGTCATTATTGCAACGCCATGGGATCCTGTGATCAAATAACACTGGCTGCAAGGAAACAACTGAATTGGCTTTTCTAACTCTCTTTGAAACTTGAAATAGACAAATCAGCTGGAGTGCATATCAGTGCCCTTTGCTGTAAATGTCTCAAACTTTGCTCCATACTAATTTGTACCATCTCAGCAAGCATCTCCTTTGTTTTTCCTAATTGTTCCTCTCCATCTATCTGACAGATGATATTGGAAACAATGTTCTCCAATGTGTCAGGTTCAAGTTCAGAATTAGGATATGGAGTGTCTCTGAGCAACCTTAGAAGTGTTTGCGCTTTTGTTTGAGACTTAGATGTTCCTTGAACAGTCAGCTCAAGAAGTCCAGGAATTACGCCTTCTTTCAATATTGTTTCCCGGTATTTACAGCGGTCACTCTGACACATTGTTAGTAGAGCACCTACAGCATGTTCTCGGCTTTGAAGAGATCCACTTTCAAGCACTTCTACTACTGCAAGTACTCCTCCTTCTTCAGATGTCACTGCAGTCCTTCCCTCCTCATAACACACTAAAGATTCTATAAGAGCAGTACATTTCTCAGCAGCTTTTGAGGACTTTTTACAGGATTTAAGCAAATCAACAATGAAATGTATGGGCTCTGTTTGAAGGATCAAGTTTAAGTTGCCTAGATAAGTTGCCAGGTTGTAAAGAGCCATCACTGCATCAACCTTGGCTTGTGAGCTTCCTTGTCTTAGGACATCTACAAGTCGATGAATGACACAAGAAGCACTAATGATGGGCTTTGTCACAGAAGAAGCAGATAATGTAACCAATGAGGCCGTTGCATGATCCTGTAGAGTTGAATTCTCTGATTGAAGAAAGCATATGATGGGTTCTAATGCACCAGCATTGATGATACTTATCTTGTTTCTGGTAGAAAAGGAAAAAAAAATTAGTCAAAATCAGAAGTTTGTTTAGTTCAGTTTAATCATTCTGGAATACTGTTAAAAATTGGCAGTCATCACTTCCAAATCTTTCTTTAACGGCTCACAAAAAACAACTAATCCAGATAATTTACTATTTGTAGAAAGGATCAAATCAGGTACAAAGTGCAGATAAGTGACAAAGCTCTTCTCATGCATATACACACATATACACCCAAATCAACAAATTCTATACTCTTTCCATTAGCTCAGTGAAATTGGAATGTGAACTTGAAAGCATACAAGGTATTACACATCACTGACAACCATCCCATTCCAAGCTAGAAATAGAAAATTATAACTATGGGACAAATGTTCACTGAACTTAAATTGATTTTCTCACACAAATCTGATCCAAAGAATTTGATGGATGGTAGAAGGTGTATAAACTTCATTGGAGAGAAATCAAGGGAAGCAAGCAACGAAGGAACTGAACTTAAAGCTTATAGCTAGAAGGACAAATACAACGGAGGAACTGAACTTACACCTTATAGTTTGAAGGCAAATGCAATGGAGGAACTTAAGTAAAAGCTTATAATTTGAAGGACAAACAGTTTCATGGTAGTGGGCTACGAATTGTGGTATTGATGCAAATGTTTAATTCTTCAGAGTTAACCAAAGTTTTCTTCATTCTTAATTTACTATTTGATTAGGGATCATAGAATAACTATAGAATGATAGTGGGTTCGGATTAATTCCCCGAAGCACTCATTGGTTGTCAAACATGGTGCATGCCAGCGAGAAGAACTGAATCTATTGAGATTTGAGATACAGAGCTATATTTTTGTCACTTTAGATGAACAAACAAATAAAAGAGTGAATATAAACTTAAATAGTAAACAGTAATCCCTGCTTTCTCAAAAAAGTAAATAGTAATCACTTAATGGATAACTCATTTACTTTAGGATCAAATTCTGATATTTCCCATTCTCGATTATAAAAAAGAACTCGTTCTTTGAGTAATCTGTACATCAGCACTTCTAAATTCTTCAACGCGTCATTGCTATTAAAATAACTCATTTACTTTAGGATCAAATTCTGATATTTCCCATTCTCGATTATAAAAAAGAACTCGTTCTTTGAGTAATCTGTACATCAGCACTTCTAAATTCTTCAACGCGTCATTGCTATTAAAATAACTCATTTACTTTAGGATCAAATTCTGATATTTCCCATTCTCGATTATAAAAAAGAACTAGTTCTTTGAGTAATCTGTACATCAGCACTTCTAAATTCTTCAACGCGTTATTGCTATTAAACAGCAGTAACCATCCTACATGAGAATATTTTAACAAAGAGTAGAATCTCCGTGAGGGGTTGACTAAAAAGCATTTCAGGTATATATATGCCTTCCAACTTTTTATCAACTTTAATGTTAACATTAGGGACAACCAGTATTATAATCACTAATGGGTGGCCCAATCAAAAGTCTGAAACTATTGAATTTTCCAAGAAAGTTTATTCCAGATTATCCAAAATACCATTGGTAGTTTCTTTTATATGAAACTTTAGTAAATGATTTTCTACTTCAAGAATCAGACAGAGAAGCACTATCGCATCATGAATCATGTTGAACACTTCCTCCAAATAATCATAAAAAAACACTAAAATTTCCAACTTCAACCATGCATTGAGCTTTATAAGTATAGATCTTAAAGTTCTAATCTTTCAACTGGAATCTGAAACTATTTTGAAGGCATTAACCAACAATATTCAAATGTGATTTCTACCAATTGAAATAAGCTCTTGTTTTTGTGACTCTTTAGTCTTTTAGTTGGAACTGAGTTTGACACTAGAATTTTAATCCTGCTTACATTTTGCAGCAATAAGACAGAGCGGGGAAAAGAAAACAGTAAATATAAGATGAGTGATCATGAAAAAGAAAAAAACAGAAGAAGAAACACCATCTTCACACTCCAATACTCCGAACCTGAGGGAAATATGCACTTGTGGAAATGAGGAGCAACAGAGTGTTTCGACGTCTAAAAAGCTAATAGGAAAAACATTAAAAACAGCCCAAAATTGGCACGGTGAATTCACGAGAAAAAAGTTGATAATTATCAACCCTTTCATAATTCAGGAAGCTCCAATGGGCCAACTATATCCAGTTTGCAACAGGATTGAGAATTCACTAGCATTTGACAGGCCAGTAAATTACTCAATGATTTGTATACACAAAAAGAATAGTGGGATCCAGGACAGTCAACATATTTTATTGATACATCAATTCCGACATTATTTTTCAGTTTTTCTGAAATAAAAATCATAAAAAAGAATTACATATTCCTTTGAGTAATCTGTACACCAGCACAACAAAATTCTTCAACGCGTTATTGCTATTAAAATAGCAGCAACCAGGACATTAGAATATGTTTTACAAAGAGTAGAATTTCCTAAAGGGGTCAACTAAAAAGCATTTCGGGTATATATGCCTTCAACTTTTGTCAACTTTAATAGTCACATCAGAAATAGCCAGTATTATAATCACTAATGATCAAATCAAAAGTCTGAAACTATTCAACTCGCCGATATACTTATTCCAGATTATCCAAAATAGCACAAGTAGCTTATTCTTTATGCAAATGAAATTTCTACTTCAAGAATTGGACACAGAAGCACCATTGCATCATGGATCATGTTGAACACTTGGTCCAAATAACATAAGAATCACTAAAATTCCTAACTTCAACTATCCATTAAGCTCTAGAAGTGCTTATCTTCTAAAAAATTGAAATTATTTTGAAGGCAGTAACAAACAATATTATAACCTGATTTCTACCACTTGAAATAAGCTCAATTTTTCTTTAAACTCTTTTAGTTTAGAACTTAGCTGGACACCAGAAATTCTTATCTTGCTTCCATTTTTGTAACAATTAGACAGAGCGGGAAAAAGAAAACAGTAAATATAAGATGAATGATTATGAAAAAAGCAAAAACAGAAAAAGAAAAGCATCATCTTCAAACTCCAATACACTGAATCCGAGGGAAAATTGCACTTAGAGAAACAATGAGCAACAGGGCAAATCAACATCTAAAAATAGGAAAACATTAGAACAGCCAAATTAGCACCGCATATTTAAGGAGACCAACCAATTCCAGTTTGCAATAGAATTGAGAATTCATGAGAAGTACCTTTCATCCTTAACAGCGAGATTGAGGAGGGCAAGTAAAGCGGCTTCCTTAGACTCAAATGAGTTAGAATGGAGCATATGAACTAGTGATTTCACGGAGTTAGAGAAATAACGGCGGTAACGTTTGGAGGTCTTGGTGAGGCGCCGAATTTCTCTAGCTGCCTGAACTTTCAAAGTGAGGTCATCGGATTGAATGAGAAGAAGGATTTCGTAAACGCTGGAAGACGACGCCGTTTTAGGAATATTATCGCCGGAATTGGCTGTGGTGTAGCTGTCACCGGCTCCAAGGTCCATCAGAAAAGTAAATAAATTAATGCGAAAATCGGAGTTGTTCAAAGCTCTATGGAGCTAGGGAATTTAAACAGAAAAAGAGGAATTTGTAGAGAGAGAAAGACACAGAGAGAGAAACGTAAGGTTAAGAAGAGAAGAAACATGGCCACCGGCGCCGTGGCGTTAAGTAAGAGATACAGAGCCCCACCCAGCCACCCACCCCGGTGGGGACAGCCACGGCGAGTGTGGGGTTTCAACGGTTTTTGTTAGTTGGTTTTTTCATCAGTACTAATACCATTACTTAGGGATGCTAATGACATAATTAGGATATTTACACTTTTAATTAAAAAACTATCTAAAAGTCTGAGGACTTATATCTAATTGGTCGAATTAATAAGTTTCGGATATAATAGATAAGATGTATAAAAGATGTGTTAATGCATATAATACTATTTCTGTCATTTTATTGTATTTTATCTATTCACTTTTACTACATCTTAGATGTCTGTTAAAAAATAATTATTTATATGGATATTTTATTATGATATCCATATTGATTAGTGTTTAGTATCATATCTTGAAAATTAATTTGAGAAATAAGTAATTGTAAGTGTAAAATATGAATTTTTTTTTTGATTTCTTCATCATATAGTTAAAGTGAAAATCTATTTTTGAAATAGTGGACAAGTAAAACTGAACGGAAGGAGGATACTAGTAGTGCTTTGTTTTCTTGATATAATAAAAGTGAAAATCTATTTTTGAAATAGTGAACGGGAGAGAACGTAGTAGTGCTTGGGTATTAAATTAATAAAAAAATGAAGATTTTTAAAATTTGTAATTTTAAACGTGTCATTATATTTAATAGTTATAAATTATATTATTAACAACAAAATAGAACTTATAATATTAACTCATTTATAAGTATATATAAAAAAAATACCATATTGTTGTTTAAATCAAACTAAAGAAAATATCACACAAAATAAAACAAATGGAGTGGCTTTAATTGTCAACTACAAACCTAATACATAACATGACACTACATGCACATGTTTGTCGATGTCCTTTCTTTACTTGTCTACACATTTATTTGTTAAGACAAATATTGGAGAGACTAAATAAAATGTAATAAACAAAAGGGAAAAAAATCAAAAATACCCCTTAATTTTGTGTTATTGATTGACTATGTCTTTATCGTTAAAATAAAGTTATTATTACCTCTGTCGTTACTAATTTCATTATTTATGCCCCTTAATTGAATGGAAAGCCCCAAATCAACTAAAATTTCTCAATTTTAGCCCGATCCAACCCACTTAATCATATAACTCTTTTTTTTTACCCAAATCAATTTTGTTTTCCGGACTTATTAAACAAAATGAGGAAAGTAGATGGATGTTCTTTTCTTCTGTTTCAAGTGATTTCTCTTCTTTTTTTCTCCGATTAGGCAACTGCGTAGGAATGGGTAGGGCTCTTCCTTTTGGCTAAATAGTTTCTTTTTTCCTTTTAATAAAGAAACATCCAATGATGCCATGTGATCCATAAAGCTTTCTCAAACCCATCTTAATTATTGCATCTCTTTTAATAATTTCGTTAGCCCAATATGTACTACCACTCCACTAGTATTGCAATGATGCAATCACACTTTTTTTTAGTCGACTAACTGTTTTTATATACTAGTTGAGATTTAGAATGGATTTCAGTCTAATTCTCTTGTATTACAAGGATTTTAGTCCAGAGAAAGTTTTAACTGCTTTCATCTCTTCTCTTCAAGAAATGACAACATTTAGCACCTAAGCGTGTGACCTAGGTGATTCTTTCCACCTGTTTTAGTTTTAGTGGATAAAGTTAATTGGTATTTGTTGCTAGTGGAAGGCATCCAAGGGTGTGACCTAGTGGTCAATGAAGTTAGATCTTAATTAATATACATATATATATAAAAAAAAAAATCAAAATTTGATTTATATACAATATAATTTTTCGATGAAGAGGTGTGCTTGACACCCCTTGGGTAAGGGTGGGTCCGCCCCTAGTGGGAGGTAAGATGACAAGTATCCCGTGGAATTAATCAAGATTTAGATCTTCTTTTTTTCCAAAAGAATGGCTGACAGCGGCGTCAGCTTCTTCTTTGTCCTCCTTACTTCTGCTTCTTTTGTCCTTCCGCTTCGGCTTCTTCATCCTCCCTTACTTTAAAAATAAATAAATAAATAATTGGTGTACCGTAAATCTGAGTTATTTCGAGCAAATTATATATCAAAAGACTTGAAACATCGAGAATACTTCATATCTAAAATTTGGTACGGTTTAGAGGTGATTTTGAGTTGATCGAGAATGAATAGTTAATGTATATCTCATGTATAGTTATGTTATATTTAGCTTTTTTAGTGTATCATAATGTATAGTCATTATATATTTCATGTAAAGCTATGCTATAGTTAGATTTTTGAGTGTATCATAATGTATAGTCAGTGTACAACTCACTTATAGGTAAACTATATTGTATAGTCAATATATACTTTCTATGACTTTTGGGGAGCTATATTGTACAGTCAATGTACACTTTCTATGACTTTTGATTATTTTTTATGTAATTAAATAAAGGGAAAAGGCTCAAATATGCCATCGAACTTTCAGAAAAGGCTCATTTATGCCATCCGTTAAAAGTTTGGCTCATCTATGCCATTACCGTTTAAGAAAAGGCTCATTCATGCCATTATTTTTTAACTGTGGTTTTACAAAACCATTTTTTACACTTGGCCAATTACAAAAATGGTTTTGCAAATCCACCGTTAAAAAATAATGGCATGAATGAGCCTTTTCTTAAACGGTAATGGCATAGATGAGCCAAACTTTTAACGGATGGCATAAATGAGCCTTTTCTGAAAGTTCGATGGCATATTTGAGCCTTTTCCCTTAAATAAAACATGACTATATTTGTTATAAACTAATTATTTTTTATTGTATATAGGGAAAAGGGCCTGATATACCCCTCAACTTTGCCATTTGGAGCTGATATGCCCCTCGTTATGAAAGTGGCTCATATATACCCTTACCGTTATACAAATGGTTCACATATACCCCTACCGTTACAAAATGAGCTCACATATACCCTTCATTTAACGGAAGTGAAAAAGTTAGTTTTAAATTTATATTTTTGACTTTTAATTTTCTTAAAAATTCTTTATGGGTATATATGATTCTTCTAGCAAAGTTCAAGGTATATTTTAATATTTTTCATACATAAATTATGTTTTGACTTCTTTTATTATAATTAGTTGAGTTTCTTATTCTTATTTTATTTTTTTCTTTCATTCTTTAGTGTAAAGAAAAAAATTTAAATTGTGGCTATATTATAATTTAAAACTATCTTTTTTTGTCTATATTGTAATTTTAATTTTTGTATTTGAAGAAAAAAATTTGGTCATCTATAATAAGTTTTACAAGAATATTTAGTGAAACATAATATTTTTGACCATACAAAATAATAAATCTAAATTAGTCATTGAAATAAAAAAAAAGTTAAATAAAATATATATGTTTGAGGAGGATTAAATATACTCATATGGGATTATATTATTATTTTTAAAAAAAATAAATAATTTAACCTGAATAAAAAATTTTCATTTCCGTTAGAGGAAAAGGGTATATGTGAGCCATTTGTATATAAGTAGGGGTATATATGAGTCACTTTCATAACGAGGGGTATATTAGCTCTAAATGACAAAGTTGAGGGATATATCAGACCCTTTTCCCTTGTATATATTTGAAACTAGCCAAAAGAAAAAGACAATCTAAGAGACAAATGCTTAGTCAAATAACACAAAAATTAAAATCGAAATAAGGCAATATCCTCTATTATACTCTCTAAACAAATAAAAAGAAATACTACTAACAAGCAGTTAATATTGATGTAAATTTGCTAACATTAATCATGCACTAATAGGATCAGTTCTGAAATTAACAAATAATTAATGAACATTTTGAATCAAGTTAATTTGAGAAGACTAACCTCATAATTCACTTAAATGGGAGATTCGAAAAATAAAACTATAATTTTTTTATCGAAAAGATTTGTACGGATACCCTCACATCTCGTTAATAGAACTACATATGTCACGAGAAATAATTACTAACCAACACCAACACCAACACCAACACTATGCATGCGCTGAAAGATTGAAACGACACTGTGTGTCAGAGAAAAAGAACAAATTCACATGATATATTAATTCACTCACATTTTTAACATCCCATCGAGTCATTACGAATTAAAGTGAAGAAAAATTTGGGCCTATATATATATAATCTGTCCATGGAAATTGCACATGCTAGCAAAAGGAATATTTTCTGTTTAATTTTGCTGACCAGTGACCACGAAGGATCGATTTCATATATTTTGATCTAGGCTGTTTGTCGTGAGAGGTTCATTCAAGAATATATATAAAATTTGAATATCTTGAACATAAGATTAGAAGTTGATTTAGTGTACCTTGAGGATCCAAATTCAAATCTCAAGTACTATATATTTTTTTTCAAACACTTTTAATAAAACTCTTAAATCCAACACTAATTACGAACGAGTAGATGTAAAGTTAATTCATAGAACTAATCGATGGCATATATGATCCAAACGACATATTCAAAAACAAGGTGGAGCTAGTACCATGTGCATGATACGATTTACTATTCACTTTTGTTAGTTTAATTGATAATAACATTTAATTAATTAGAACATAAAGACAGTTAGATGGATCGTACTTATTATTATAGTATTTCTGGAACGTGGTGGGTCATTTTCTGGAATCAAAATGCACATAAAAACTTGCATTTACGCCTCTTTGTAGCAAATGACAGCGACATCATTTTTGATCATTTATTTCATCAATTCAAAGATCGCAGCCTTCATTATCCAAACAAAAGATTTTAGTCTGTTCAACTTGAAAACCAGGATAACACCCCCACCCCCAATAATAATAATACTTCGTGTCTTCCCCCCTCTCATTGCAAGAATCAAATTACCTAATTTTTGGTGTGAAGTTTCAAATATAATCTTTAAGTTTTTTAAATTAAAATTTAAAAATTACGTAAATATACTTTAGATTACGATAATTAACGACTATTTTAAATATTTAAAAGTATATGAAAAAATCGACGGACAAGGAAAAATTCTTTTCACTTTTTAAATAGTAATTGTGTCATATTAAAGAATAGAGGAGTGCATGCAAATTATATATAGTAGCAACAATAATAGTAAGAGAAAATAGCAATAATCATAGAA